GTTGATCTGATTGGTTTATTTGGCCCGTCTATCACCAACATAGGCCAATCAGCTAACCAGTATTTTTGCCCCTTCCCAAAATTACTTCAACGGAAGGATTCCAGATGGATATGCGGAGCAAATCCATCTGGCGGAGTCAGGTTAGAATGGCGCTAGGCTTACCGCACTGTGACGTCACTGCCGGAAGATGGCTGGAGGGAGGTGTTACTATGTTTGGGCAAAAATGGCCGCTCCCAGACTCCAGGTTGCAACGAAATTTATTATTTGTATTATTTTACTGATTAAATCACTGTTAAAGTATTAGTTTTAGGTATAAATATGACCCATTGGTTATTACTTGCTGACCGGACTTTTCCTTTTAAATGTAAAATCGCTCATTTTTATGGCATTTCTTGTTTCATTTTGACATTAAAGGTTAGTCACTGCCCACAGTCATCTGTCCTACCTTAAACTCCAGCAGCTGCTGTTTGATCATCTCCACCTCCGTGCCGACCGCTCCCTGAGAGTTCAGCCCTTCTTCAGCTCTTCCCAGCATGCCTTGCAGCTCCGCCACCAGCCGGTAGAAGTCCTGGACTCTCTCGGCCGCGTCTTCGATCTGAACCAGCCTGGCCTGGCCGCGTTCACTCAACTGGAGAATAGAAAAGAACCAATGAAGGAAACATTTCAGCACAAAGTCATCAGAAGTAGCAAAGGAAGATTGTCTTTTTCCTCACCTTCCCAGCCTGCCGACTCAACGCCTCTGTCTCCCTCCTGAGAGCCAGCAGGTCAGGCGAGGAGCCCTCTCTCCTCAGCATGGAGGTGCACTCTGTGGAGTGTCCCTCCAGCTCCGTCCTGAGGTCGGAGAGGCGGGACAAGAAGCTTTTCACGGCATCGGCCTGCGACGCCAGGGAGTCTGCATCACGTCCAACGGGACCCAGAGAGTCCAGTTCATCGTCAAGGTCAGCGAGGCGGGAGAAGACGTCCCGCACGTGAGTCTGGACTTCGCCGACACCCTGCAGGCGTGACTCCAGGGAAGAGCAGCACTGTTCGATCTGATGGCGGGACACAGGGTTCAGTCAGGTTAGCTTGGTTTGAAACGGACCAAAAGTTACAAAATAAAACTGATTGGGTTTCAGAAAATATCAGTCATTTCTGAAACAGAGAACCTTATTTTATATAAAAGTGGGATGGAAAACTCTGCAACATGGTGAGAAATGTCACATGATTAAGACTCAGTTTTTATAGTGAGAAAATAGAATACAAAGTCATTTATTGTTCTGTCTGCTGAATCTTAGCAGCTTTCTGCAGAACCTGGAACCAAACCAGGAAATGATACGAAGCAAATCACTTATCAAATTCTTTCTATGAAAGTGACCTGATGAAAGATCAATAAAAGGCCTAGTTTACATGACAATGATCCAGGAAAATGGAGACTCTCCTTTAAAATGGTGCCTCCACACACAGGCTTCCTTCATACAGGAAGACTGCCTTTTTCTGGCCAACTAAACAAAGGAATTAAGATGCTTTTAAAAATCTAAAACCTGGTTTTAGAGAAAACCTGCCATCAAACGACAGTAGAAGCTTTTCTAATCAAAGAAAACATAACTTTTTGAAGTCAACCCAAGAAATAAGCAGCTGCTGAATGAAGCCAAAACCAGAGAAACAGACAGGGCTAAGTTATCGGTTGCCATGGGGATTCCCGCCTTTCACGAGGGAGTATTGAGAGCTGAGCTAATATCATCAGAATTTAAGCCTGAAATAAATAGACAGGGTGAAAAATCTGGTATAATAACGCTAATTAACATTAATCATATCCGACAGAAGATTCTGATGTAAACATTTAAATTTTAGAGGTTAAAAAGTAATTTGTGTTTCAGTTTTTAAAGAAACAAATCAGACGTCTTTCATAGTGAGAGTTTATTCGGATTTGGATGTGTAGACTCCGCAGTCTGGGGAGATTTGACAGAAAACTTCACACTGAGTTATATGATAAAAATGCTAAAGAAATGATAAAACTGAGTATAAAAGCAGCTTATAAAGCAAAGTTTGTCTGATTTTTTTCAGAAGGTCAAACACGTAATCATTTAGTTATAAAGATGGAAAAAAAATTAAACGACAATTAAAATTTATTTAGAGTTTCTACTTTAAAAGACAGCTAAACCAAAGAAAATATCTCAGTTTTCTGACTGTTTTCTACAATTTCACTGAAGTCTAAGGGAAAATTTAATGGATGCAGCACACATACTAACCCTAGTTCAACTTTTTAAAAAGCTACAACAACAAAAAAGTAGAAACGGAAGAAGAAACAGATAAAATGTGTTTTGCTATTCTTAAAGGTGTATTGTACAAGTTTAAAGACGCTACGTTGGGTCTCTGCTGCAAAGACAGAACAGAAGTGATACTTTGTGAAGATGGAACACAAAGACCAGCCACAGGTTCACCTCAAGGCCCATCAAAACGCCACAAAATAGTTAAAAAATGAAAGTTTTGTCTGAGAAGAGAGTCTGATCTTTGTCTTCGTCATAAAATGAAGGTAAATATTGGGGTAGCTTTCAAAAAGGAATGGAGTTCATGTTTGCACTGGGAATGGTCCTAAAAAGATGCTCTGTTCAAAGTATCCTCTTATATCAGATTAAATCACGTCTCTAAACTCAACACCTGAGCGGCGTCAACACTGGTGTCGTTTCATCCTGCCACCTCAGGGGGCAGACTTCTGCAAAAACTCTGGAACTTGCTCTATGCTCCTTTAAAGGAGAAATAAGTGAAATCTCACCACCAGATGGGGTCGCTGAGCACTATCTGTAGACCAAAACAAGATGCGTAACCATCTCTGCGCTGACCATCCCTGTTCGAAGGAACGGATCCAGGGATAAAGTGAGTAACTATTAACTTGCTGCCGTCATAAGAATTTAGGATTGAAGCAAATGATTGTCTTCAGGTGAACAATTTGCTCTCTCTCCGCCATCTTTCTCCTTCTCACAAACAGATTGTTTGTGATGCAGTGGCGGCTGACCAATAGAGGGCGCTAGGTCGCCACCCCACCCACCCACTCACTGACCCTGATTAAGACATAAAAAATATATTTTTTTATAATATTTTATTTTAAATAAAAAGGTAAAATATTTTGAAATAGATTGATATATATTTTTTAGACGTGTAAGATAAAAAATGAATCTTAAATGACAAATAAAGCGTCAATTTTTATGTTTCTGTGGATTGGTGACATATTTCCACCCTAGAACGTTTACCCATTGACTCTCGTTAAAAGTTGTCTATGTGCAGTCGCTCCTCTGCAATACAAACATACAGGACGGTCCAGCGTGCAGATAAGCAGCGAACTGAGGTGACAGGAAGTGTATTTGCTCACCATCTCCTGCCTCAGTGTTTTGCAGGTGATTGACAGGTTGAGTCACAGGAGTCGCATTGGAGAGAGAGAGAGAGAAATGGTGCAAGAAACGTCCTTTTCCAGGACCTGGTTAAGCTACAAGGCTTGGCTAACTGCATGCAGTGAGGCTAAAGCTTTATCCTGCTTTCCCTGCCTCCTTTTTCAAACGTCAGCCTCTTACTGAGCATAAAGACAGCTAGGACTGATTTAAAGCACTTTTTAGAAAAGGCAAAGAAGAATAAACAATCTGGGATTCACATGGAAAATAATATAATACAGTGCATTTTTTCATAGATGTTTGTTAATTTGCATACTTTCTCTTAAATAAACACATTTTCAGAAAATAAATCGTTTTTATAAATATAAAAAAATATAAATCTGACTAATCGCATCTCCATTATTAAACTAGTTTAATAATTATTAGTTTTTAATATATTTATTAGATTATTTTTTTAGGTTTGTAAGACAATATTGGACCATTCAAAACACAAATTTATCTTCACAAAAAACCTCAGTTGAAGATTTTTATACAAAAATTAAACCTGTACATGAAATTATGTTTTGTTTTTATAAAGTGCTTTTATACCGTATTTGTTGTTGACATTCATATAAATATACTGGTGTGTAATAACTTAGTATGTGTTTTTGGTAGACGTCTATTTTGAATTTATAGCCCCCCCTGGAGAAAACTCCACCAGCCGCCAGTGGTGTGACGTCTCTAAAATGATACCTTCAGATAATAAATGAATTATTTTCATTGTTGCTCCTCTAATAATTGCAGAAAACACCCAGAAAAACCTTTTCTTCCCCACAGCGATGGCAAAGGAGCAAAGATTTAAAATAATGTCAGTAATTAACACCCCCCCCAGTTATATCCAGTGACCTTAAACGGAACGTGAGAATAGATGCAGCTTTGCGGCTTTGAATTCCCCTCATTCTGGTTTACATCTCCAGCAATGATGGCGTGCTGAATGTCCACACTGACCATATATGACTGCTGGAAGACGACCCGCGCTGGTATTCCCCCCCCCAGCCCCGACAGAGGCTCTGCTTTAGAATAAACTGCTGATGTTTCATAACTGCTGCGGTTGCTTTCATCAATCGTCGCCAAGGATGTCCAGCTTCTTCCCACTTTATGAGTTCTGCTTTAATAGGCGCAAAAAAAAGTTCAGAAGGAAAAGCTGCACTTTGAAAATGACACAAAGTAAATTAAACTATTTGGAGAGAAAATCTGACCCTGAACGTTTGCAGCCATTTTTAATTGCATTTAACATCGTTCTCTGCGGAAGTAAAGGAAGTAAAGAGTTTTCTCCTTCCTGAATGGAGCTAAAAAGCAGCGAAAGCTCAGAAAAATATTCACACTTTTCACGATTCTTCCCTAATTTTTTTTATTGAAAAATCAGACAAACCACAGAGAATCCGTTTGTTTAGACTGAAGCTCGCGGCCTTCCGTCCTCACCTTATCAGTGACCTCGGCATACTCCTCCTCTGCCTCCTTGGCCTGCTCCTGGAGCCTGCGGGCTCCCTCACTGCTGCCCCCTGGTGTCTGGGGGGCGTCCTGAACCAGCCCCTGGGCCAGGTCTTTGAGGTAGACCACCTGATGCTGCAGCGACCTCAGGCTCTCCTGCTGACTCCTCAGTCGCTCCAGACTTTTCGCGCTGCATGCCTGTACAGAGAATGAGTCCGTTTTTTTTATAAAGTCACGGTTTTGTTTTTCAGTTTTTATTTCAGACCAGCTGGATGGTTTGTGCTTTTGATCGCTGCATTCTAGTACCTGAGGTCCAAGAGCCTCTTGGACTTCAAGCTGATGCTTGGCGGCCTCCAGTCTCCTCTCCACGGCCTGTCGGCCTTCCTCAAACTCCTTCAGGCGGCTGGACAGCTCCTCCAGCTGGGCCGTCCGGTTCAGGAGACCCTCGCTCAGCCTGTCCACTCGCCGGTTCAGCTGTGCTTTCTCATCTCGTAACTTAAAGAATTAAAAAAAGTTTTAATAAACCGTTACTTTGCTCAAAAAACAAAGAGACTGCGTTTCTCTGTCACCTCTTCCTCGCCGACGCAGCACTGCTCCAGCAGCTGATCGGCCGCAGTATTAAAAGCCTCCAGCAGGGGCTGCCGTCTCTCCAGGTCCAGGGAAAGAGTCCTGGCTTTCTGCAGCGATTCGTCCAGCGCAGATGGATCCAGCGACGGTTGGATCTCCTCATCCTTCTCTTCACACTCTGCTAACCACGGCGTGAGCTCAGCTTTGTACTGTTGGTAAGTTTCTGCTTTGCTCAGTGTGTTCTTCAGTTTGGTTTCTCGCTCTGTGATCCGGTGGTTTAGTCCCTCCCAGTCCTGCCTCAGCGAGGCCAGGCGGGACTGCAGAGCGGTCCTCTCCTCCAGGGGCAGGGTGGCGAGCAGCGACACGCCTTCAGCCTGGATCAGCTCGTAGGAGCCCCTCTGGCTGGCGACTCCGCGCTGCAGCTCCTCGGTCTGAGCCAGGAGGGAGCGGATGGCCTGGGGTCGGCAGGGCAGGGAGTCCGAGGGGGATTCTTTGGGATCGGACTGCTGATCGAGCCACGAGCGCAGATCCTTAAACATCTGCTGGAACTGCTGAGTGGAGGACAGAGCGGCTTGGAGCTGCGTGAGGCCGTCAGCTGAGAGGAGGGAAGAAAGAGAGCGGATTGAACTTATGATTCTGGCTGAACAACAGGACTGAATGTCACAAACGCTGAAGCTAACCTGCTCTCTCCTCTAAGCTCCTCAGGGGTGCGCTGACGCTCTCCAGGCGTTTACTCAGCTCTTCTTTCAGGTACGGCTCGGCCACGATGTCGCTGAGCTCGGCACAAAGCTTCTCCGCCTCTGCCAGTTCGGTCCGCCGTCGCTCCAGCTCCGAGCGGATCTCTCCAGTCTCCTGCAGCCTGTGTTTCAGCGCCTCGGGCTGGGCGCTGAGCGAGGCCTGGGCGTCCAGCCGCTCGCTGAGGGACGCAATGCTGGAGGAGAGCTCCTTAAGGAGGCCCTGAAGCAGAGGAGAAGCCCAGGAACTCAGAGAACATTCAGGCAGATCCTCATCAGAACCCTCCAGCCCACAGAACCAAAGCTACCTGGTATCTTTCACTGGTTCCCAGTGCCTGATCAATGTGGCTCGACCGCTGAGTCAGTCTGCCTGTCAGATCGTCCCACTGCTGGGAGACGGAGCCCAGTTCAGCCCGGACCTCCTCCAAGTCTCTGGGGTCCTGAGCAGAGTCACCGGTTTGAGAGAGGATGCCTTCTGCAGACTGGGTCAGCTGGTCAAACTGGGGCCGCCGCGTGTCAAACTCCCGCAGCATAAACTGGAAGAAGAGCAGAGAAGGAGCCGTCAGAGATGCTGGAAGGAGATGATTGGGTCGGTTTGTCTGCGGTTCTTCTCTTCATACCTGAACCTGCTGTTTCTGGGTGTTCAGCATGTTGGGGTCGATGCTCAGGGGCCCCAGCACGCTCATCATCAGCTCCTTCTCCTTCAGCCAGGGGCCCAGCTGATTGGCTGCTGAGGCGAAGCTGCCCAGCCGGTCGGCGCACGTCTCCAGCTCCGTCTGCCGCTGAGCTGCCGTCTGATTGGCCGTTTGCCAGCGGGAGTCTGAGGAAATCAGAACATGGGAAGGTTACTTCAGAGGTGATCATAATGTTGCGATTTCATCTCCTCTCACTCTTAGGGAATGATTAACAGGATGAGAAAATATGAAGTAAAAACAAGCCGGCCTCATATTTCTGTTCCAGTCAGGTTATAGAAAGCTCCGATAAAAATACCCTGCATGAGTCCAAAAGCAGCTCTGACAGGAACTCATCCCACTCACTCCCTGGATAGCATCGCCTCACCCCCCCACAGGAAAATAAATACCCATTTAATACCCTGTGCAATAACCCTGTGTTATAATCCCGTTAAATAAGACACTTCAGATGTTAAACGCATATATATATACACACACTACCGTTCAAAATTTTGGGGTCACATTGAAATGCTCTCATTTTTGAAGGAAAAGCTCTGTACTTTTCAATGAAGATAACTTTAAACTAATCTTAACTTTAAAGAAATACCCTCTATACATTGCTAATGTGCTAAATGACTATTCTAGCTGCAAATGTCTGGTTTTTGGTTCAATATCTACATAGGTGTATAGAGGCCCATTTCCAGCAACTATCACTCCAGTGTTCTAATGGTACAATGTGTTTGCTCATTGGCTCAGAAGGCTAATTGATGATTAGAAAACCCTTGTGCAATCATGTTCACACATCTGAAAACAGTTTAGCTCGTTACAGAAGCTACAAAACTGACCTTCCTTTGAGCAGATTGAGTTTCTGGTATGCATCCCATTTGTGGGGTCAATTAAACGTTCAAAATGGCCAGAAAAAGAGAACTTTCATCTGAAACTCGACAGTCTATTCTTGTTCTTAGAAATGAAGGATATTCCATGTGAGAAATTGCTAAGAAAGTGAAGATTTCCTACAACGGTGTGTACTACTCCCTTCAGAGGACAGCACAAACAAGGATTCTTCTTTGACGAAAGCAAAATTTGATGCAAAAAAAAATCTTCAAATACAAATCATTATTTCTAACCGTGTCAACTCTATTTTATATATATATATATATATATATATATATATATATATATAAACAAATGAAGCTCAAGCTCCAACAACTTCTTAAATGGATTTTATTTTTTTAAGTCCTCTCAAGGTTGTTTTTTAACTCTGTTACTGCACCTTATTCTACCACACTTTTTCCTTCCACCCGATTTTCTATTAATATGCTAAAATGTTTTAAGAATATTTTTAAAATTTAGAAAATTACAATAAATTAAGGCTTAAAATATTTCATCTAATGCATCAAATATAAATAAAATGTATTGCTCTTTTTAAAATAAGGTACAAAATGGAATAAAACCTTTTAACAATATAAAAATCAATTGATTTTGGTATATTTTGTTTGATTTTCTGACTAAGTCGACCATATTTACAGACAAATAAATAGGAAATAAAAATAAAAGTATTTTGACACATCATTATTAGTGCGGTTTATCTCATTGCATATTTCTAAAGGAGTAGAATCATTACAGATTATGACTCATCCTGCAGAAGTCTGATTAAATGATGCAGCTGTGAGCTGCAGGACGTACCGATCTCCTGCAGCTGCTGCCTCCAGCCGTCAGCCTCAGGAGAATCCGGATTGTCGGTGATTAGTTTCCTTAATGTACTCTTCAGCTCCTCCACCTTCCCAGCGTGCTCAGCCAGCTCAGAGAGCAGAGCCTGAAGGACCAGAACGAAACAATACGTAAAAAAGCAGCACCTTTAACCGACTGTAAGCGTCAGGTAAACAGGGAGCAGATATCAGATCCAAGAACAGCCTCTCGTACCTTGTTTTGCTGCGCCTGAGCACGAACCAGCTCAGGCTTAGACGGGGAGCTGGCCTGTCCCTCCTTCAGGCTTCTTTCTCTGTCGCTCAGCCAGCTTCTCAGCTCCTCAGCGTTCTGCCGGGCCTTCTGCCGGAGCTCCAGGGAGGCCTGCTGGCGGCTCAGACGCTCCTTCAGTTCGCTGCCCAGAGAGTCGTAACGGGCGTTGACATCGGAGACTGTCAACTGCAGCTCCGTAAGGTCTGAGAATAAAAAAACAAAAAGAAAAGAAAATCAGCTGGAGGAGGAAAGCAAACTAAAACCAAGAACTGAACTAAACACAGAAAAGATGGGAAAACATTCTGGCCTTGCTGCTTTCAGAGGATAGAAGAGGAAATCAGTTTGCAGGTGTAACGATAAGACATCAGCAATGATGAATCTAGGATTTAAGGTTATTTTCCAGCAACCAAAATGATTCACAGCAGGAGAACTTTAAGGTCAGCTGCCAGTTTTAATTTACCTCAGCATCCAACAGGTTAGTGGGTCAAATTGGGGTAAATAACCCAAAACTCCATCTGAGACTCTGAAGAGCTTAAAGGTTTAGTGGAGGATGTTCTTTTTCCGGGTGGATAATCGAAATAAGTTGTCAATGATTCTGGTGATACGTTTACAAATGGCCGCCCTATGTGCTCCTCCCCATTTTCACTTACCAGAGGTGACTCTGACATAATGGAAAAATTGCAAATCTTCTTTTAAAAAGTAAGCTTGTATGACCGATGCAAACAGCAACTTTTAAACAGAGCGTGCACGAGCAGAAATGGGCTCGTGCGCGCTCTCACACGTGTTTAATAGGCGTTCCCTCTCGGCAGCGGGTACAGGGTTGTGCATGTGCATTTTTAATTAAAGAGGAGAGGGCGGGTCTTTTAAAAAAATTCACCAAAATCCTCCACTATAAGTTTAACTCCTCCAGTACGTTATTTTCCTCCTCTTATCTACTACGATCCTAACATTCCCTCATAGGAACCTCATTCCTGGAAGGAATTCTGCAGTGATAAAGAACAACAACACTGAAATAAGGTGAGATTTAAATGAATCTGACAGGATGAAATCATCAAGAATAAAAAGTCCATATAGGATCCTCTCGAAATTAGAAATGCTTACAAATTTGATGCAAAATGAACCTTAATTTGAAAGTTTAAGCTTTTAGAAAAATACTTTTCATTAAAACGATACATTATCTTTAAAATAGATCACAGAACATCTAGAGTGCTGCAGAATACACTGCAAAAAAAATCTAAATCTAGATAAGTCATTTTTTTCTTAAAATAAGTGCATTTGTTCTTGAATTGAGGAGGTAAAAGAGACATTCTGCCAATGGAACAAGACAATTTACACTTAAAATAAGAAAACACAAAATAAGAAAACACAATTGCATTGTCTTATTTCAAGTACATATGATCTAATTATCTTACTCAATGGAATGAGTAAAATTACTCATTCCATTGGCAAACTTTCTCATTTACCTACCGGGTACTCAAATCAAGGGTGAATACACTTATTTAAGGAATTTTTCACTTATTTCTAGATCGTTTTTGCATGGTAAAAGGATTGGTTTCAATAAAAAAATAGTATGTAAATTCTAATTATCAACTGATAACGATGCCAACATTGATTTTGCACCAATAGAAACATTAAACGATGAATATGGATCCAGATTTCGAGCGTTGATCCCAAGTTGAGGAGAGGAAGGAACTCAGAAGCCATTCCTTGCAGACAAATCAAATGCTTGCTAACACTAACAATTGGTTAGCATTAAAATTAGGGAACCTGGCAAACGGTGCGAAACAAAAGCAGGCATAGCGCCACTTACTGGAGAGTAAGATACACTTGCAGATATTACCTTCATGAACAAAGAAATAAACAAATAAATCAGCTGCTGTGGTTCTAAACATGTACAAAAGATGAATGAGTTTAATAAGGAACATTTTCCACTCAAAGTTTCTTAGAATTGTTTCCATGCTCTATGTAAATTTAGCTTATCAGCAAAAAAAAGAAAAAAAAAGACAGCAAACAGAATTTAAATGTCAGACTGTTAATCATCCAAAGCTGCTGAGAGCTTCAGGAATGCTTTCAACGTGGAGTCAAAAGGGAGGACAAGTTTATGAAACATTAAAAGCTTCTGGAAATCTAACATTTTATCAGAAAAGAAAAAAAAAGCTTTAATCTCTCTAGTTTTGAAATGTTTTTATTTTCCAGACACACGTTTCTGTTTGTCTTTAACGACCAGAGCAAATGTTTACTTCTTCACAGAATCCGTAAAAAAAGGGAACTTCTACAGTTTTAGTTTAATTTAAAACAGATACATAGATTTTGTTTGGTTAGAATTTAAAGTTGTCAGAAAAAGCTGTGAAATATTGCTTTTTAATTTTTTTAACAATCATCATTTGTTGGTCAGCCTGAAAACCAAACAATGGATAAATGTTAATATTATACCATGTGGCAAATGCAGGGAAAAGCTTATTTTAATATAAAACCAAAGTATTTTAGGAGGAATTATTTGACTTTTGCATTTTTTGAAAGAAAAAAAAGAATTCTAGAAAACTGAATTTTATTTCTATTTTCAAAAATACTTTTTCCATCCTGGAAAGCAAATCTGTGAATCAATCAAAGTCTGCAGATCTGGGTTTCAGGCTGCGGGGGACCCAGCTGCGGTGGGAGCTCACCTTTACAGGTGTGGATGCCGTTCAGGCTGCTGGGACCAGCAGAGCCGTTGATCTGAGGAACACCTGGAGAAGATCACAGTCAGGTGAGCAGGACCCTCCAGAGACCAACAGGAGCACAGTTTCAGTTCTGTCAATGTTTACCGGTTTTGGTCTGAGGAGCCGTCACGTCGATGATGAGAGACTCCAACTCGGAACCGGTCTTGTTCAGCTCTCCGATTCTGGATCCTTGTGATTCCCATTCATTCAGCAGCTCCTGAAGTCAGACAGGATTTCTCCTCAGTTTTCCACCTCCTCACCCAAACACTGGTCACACCTGGAATGTTACGAAACATCCCAGACTCACCTGGAGCTGCTGGACCCTCCTCTGCAGACCCTCGGTGTTCAGGCCGGCCTCCTTGGAGGGCAGCTGGTCCTGGGCGGTCTGAAGCCAGCGGACCAGGGAGCCTGAGAGGCTGCGGAAGTGCTGCAGCTGCTGCTCGCAGGCCTGGATGGCAGCGAACCTGAGAGGAAAAACACAGATAGGAAGAGTTTTAAAAACTATCTTTGCACACGTTTCATGCAGAAATGCAACATTTTCAGGTTCAGAAACATTGGTTATCCTCTTTAATAAATTACAAACCTAAACTCCCTTCAAACACATTAAAAATCAACAATAAGCTGCTGACTAAAATGATAAAAAATAAGCCACACCAAGGATCCGGCTGGGAAGCTGGTTAAAGAAAAACAAAACTTCAGATGCAACAAGAATGAGAAAAACATTTCTGACTTAGAGAAAATGAGCCCAGCAGCTGAAATAATTGATGTGTCAATGAAGT